TTTTACAGTACTAATTTTGCTGATCCATAAATGTCTTTAATTTCTTTCTTCAATGTTGTGTGATTTTATGGTAGGAATCTTCTACTTCCTTTCTCAGGTATTTTTCTCTTAGGTTTTTTTGGAGCTACTGTACATGGAATTGTTTTTATAATTTCTCAGCTAATTCGTTATTGGTTTATAGAAAAGCTATTGATTTTTTAACATTGACTTGCATCCTGGTTTTGTTTGTTTTTACATTACAAATATCTGGCTTGTCTTTTTACTTTCTCTAAGGCATCTCACATTATGTTGAAGCTTTTGACCTTGATGTAGTCCAATTTCCACCTATTTTCTTTTATTGTATGACCATTTTGGGCCTTGTTTGAGAAATCCTTTTGTATTTCAATGTCATAAACATGTTATCCTATATTTCTAAACATTTTAATGCCTTAATTTTTAAAAAGTTGTTCTGGAGTCTTTTTTGTGTGCATGGTGTGAAGGAAGGGTCTCATAATTTATCTCACGGTTTATCTCCCAACCTTCCACCAGGCTGTGAGGCAGATGTTGTTCCTGTTTGGCATGTTGACAAGATTGACGTAAGGGACCTGTCTGAGTTGCATTGGTCGGAAAGAGCTAGGATTTGGACCCAAGTTTCTGTGGTCTCAAAGCCCCCTCTTTTCCACGTGGCCCAGTGCTGTTCCTGCAAGGCGAGAGCAAATGTGCACAGCGTTTCATTTCCGAGGCTAATCACTTTCATTTCAGTGTAGAAGTTCAGGTCCACGTTCCTGGACAATGCTTGTCTGCATGAGGCTTAAAAGCACCTGTGGCTGGTAATAAACCACAGGCTGAACCGGGACAGATGTGTGGACACGGCACCAGAAACCGCTGATTCCTGTGATTTAACCCATATATCTAGATTTCCCTGTCTCTTTTGTTGCTCACTTCTTCCTGTGAGGTAAACATGTTGGAATATAAGAAAATTGAAAAGTCCAAAACAGCTGTTTGTAGCATCTTACTGTTTTTCTTACTGATTTATGAGATTGCTTCATAATATGACCATTTGCTCTTTTTCTTTGATTTTCTTGGTTGCAAGTGTTTCTTTGAGCTTGTTATTTTTCTTTTAGTTTTGTCTGTGGCATTGTTGCGTTTCAACTTATCTTTTTGGGTAATCAAGTCTGTCACTATCCCTCCATCAAGTCCTCGTTACTTTCATGCTTAGAAAGCCCTTGCTTGCCTCAGACCAGTTAAAGTCACTTTCCTTTAAAAAAAACTTTCAAAAGTCTCTTTTAAACTTGTTTTTCATCATTTAAACAGTACGTGTTTATTATTAATTTTTTCCCCCAAGAAACAAAAGAATTTATCATGAAAGGTTATTCTCTTTTCCTTCTCTCAGCTCTATTTCTACTCCCCAGAGTTAATAATCACCATTGACAGTTTCTTGGGTGTCAGTTCTGGGATAGTATCAAGAATATGGAGCATAGCAGATTTTACAGCAACTGGTCATTTTCTAGACCTCCCCTGACATCTGAAGTGTGTACCCCAAAGCTGAAGACTGTTGGCATCAGCTTCTGTCCACTCCTAAAGGAGTTGCTAGGTGACCCAGTGGCCCTCAACAACAGGCCACCAAACTGACCCTGCAGCCACCTGCCCTCCACCCACACTTATCAGCAGAGGCCAGAAAGGATGTGGGAGGAAACCCCCAGGGCAGGTAGCCCTCTGTCCGGGGTTAGGATTAGGGCTACCTGCTCCGGGCAAGGCTCCTTCCTCCGTTTCCAGGCACTTATGGGTGGAATTCAGGGGGTCCACAAACAAGAATGGGGAAGATTTCCATCCTTATTTTCACTATCCTCTAGCAAAAACTTGTCATTTCCTTCAACTATGAACACAGTCTACAAACTACAGACATATTAGCAACAGTTGTACATTTGTCACCAGTAGAAACCACAGGAGTTTTTGCATCACATATGGTTGTTGCAGATATCTCAAAATATCACTGATATCCATCCTTACTTAGAAATTACTGCAAAAAAAAAAAAAAAGAAAGAAATCACTGCTAGATCTTGTTACATAATGTAAGAATAAAGCAGCGTTTAAGTGAATAAGCCAGGTAAGGGGAAAGAATGCTGCGTGATACCACTTATATTAGGAACCTAAAATAGCGAAATACGCAGAAGCAGAGTGGAATGGTTGTTCAGGGCGAAGGGAAGGAAGCAGAGGAGGTATGGGTGTCAGAGTACAGAGTCGTTTATGCAAGGTGAATACATACTAGAGCTCGGTCGCACGATATAGTGTCTATGGTTAACAATACTCTATTGCATATTTAAACATTTGCTAAGAGACTTCTCTTAAATGTTCTCTTAATAAATAAACAAATCATTGAATGACTAAACAAACAGGACAGAAAGAAACTTTGGAAGGTGATGGATATAATTATAGACTGTGGTGAAGATTTCATGGGTGTGCAAATTATTGCCAAATACAGAAAGTATATATATTAAATATGTACAGCTTTTTGTGTGCCAATCACATCCTGGTGAAGTGGTTTAAAAAAGCATCATTCTGAGCTTCACCAAACAAGATGGTAGGAATTCAACAATGGTTCTTATATTGCATATTGTTGTCTTCAAATTTGTTGTTCAGATTACCAGACATAAGCATGCAAAATTGGTCATGAAAAAAAAAAAGCATTAACTGTTCCTTTCAATAAATCAAGACATCAGCAGTACAATTATCCTAGCTATCTTTGTATATACATACATATTTTTTTCTTCACTCTTTCTTTCTTTTCTCCTTTCCCTTATCCCAGTTGTTCCTTCCTTTTGAGCATTTTCTTTCCCTTAATTTTTAAATTATTACCTTTTATTCTCTTTAACTGTGTGATCAATCTTGCATTCTTACATCTGATAATCTGAGCAATTTCACTGAAGATAGCAATACATAATATAATAACCATTGTTAGTTCCTATCATTTTGTTTTGAAATCCCATATTATTTTTGTGCTTTTTGTTTTTGTCTTTGTTGTTGTTGTTTTACTATTGTATTTTTTTCTGTTTAAAATAAAAAAGCAGCATTCTTAGAGTACAAATATTAAAATGATTTTGATAACCAGATATCAGTAACAGGAGTGTCCTGGTAATCCTGTATATTTTATCTTATAAACATAACATTATTTTGAGGAGGGTTCCATAGATCTCACTGACCACCCCAGGAATGCAAACAGGAATGTCTAGAGGGCGTGTGTGTGGTGTGGATCCTGTCCTGGGCCACTACAGATGATCTGCAATTTACAATGATCTGATTTATGATTTTCTGACTTTCTGATGCGGTGAGAGTAACATACATGCAGTAGAAACTGCCCTTGGAGATTTGAATTTTTCTCAGGCCGGTGATGTGGGTTCTGATCCCTCTGTGGATGTTGGTTCGTGGCAGAGCCCACAGCTCCAAGTCAACCCTGGGACCACAAGGGGAGACAGGCAACACCTCACGGGGTTTGCCAGGTTACATGTAGCAAACGCAATTTCCCCTTACAAGTTTTCAAATTGGGATGGGTTTATGGGGGAAGTCGCAACCCCATGGAGAGTTGCGGAACATCTGAAGTACAAACCAAGTCCTCACGGTGGACAGGAGACTGCAGCCTGTCTCTCTCACTGGCTGCTTGGTAGGATGCAGGGACCTGCTGCTGCTACAGGAGAAGTGAGAAAGCTCCTGAGAGAGGCAGGTCTGGGCCCCCGCTTGCAGAGTTTAGCAGCCATGTGAACATAAACACAGACCCCTACTTTTCATCTGGAGCATCAGTGCTGCCTGGTCTGGCTGGAGCAGCCCTCCTGGCAGCGCGGGAAGCAGGCTCAGCACTCTCTGCCCCCTCTGCAGTGTCTGGGAGGTAAGAATGGTCGTGGGCCAAGTGGATGCAGCAGAGGGCCTGGGTTGGGAGCATAGTCGCCTCCCCTGTACCCCAGATTCCGATGAGCACAGTGGAGGGAACCTGGGAGTGGGGCTGTGAGAGGAATCCACAGCGCCACAGATAATAATGGGATGAAGAGACCGCGAGAGAGGAGGCCTTTGCAGAGACAGACCCAATCAATGGTCCAAGAGAACCATTCCCTAACCCTTTCCCCTCCTTTCAAACCCAATTTCAGAGGCAACAAAGAGGAAGAGAAAAGAAGTAAAATGAAGAAAAAAAAAAAAATCCACAAAAAGCCTTCCTTCCCCCAAACAGTTCCATGAATCATGGGTCCAGCCCGGGATAAGGTGGGAGAGCGGAGCTTTTGAATGGACATAAAATTAATATTTGACTTACGCTACCAGACTTCAAAACCCATTCCTGTTTGCTGCAGCATCCTGGCTGGCAGCGCCATGACTGCTGTGCTTACCCGGAGCTAACTCACCGATTGCAGTTCTGACCTTACCCTCCAAACTTGCCGCGAAATGCCTCATACTTATTATTATTTTGCATCGCCCTATAGTACATTGGCAGTCGTTGGAAACCAAAGAAATGGCTCCCTTGCAGCATTCTCTTTTTAGCAGTGGTATTTCTGTTTACAAAATATAGTCATTCTGAGTCACTGGAAATTAAGTAACGCTGGCAGCCAAGTGCACGTTTTCATGCTTTCTGGATGGGAAGTGGATTAAACACCCGAAGTGGACTTCAGTGACCAGAATGCAACTGACTTTAAAGCACAGTCCCCGAGGAGCCATCTGTTCAGCCCAATTAGCCAGGCAGGACCCCAAGTCAGGAGATTTGGTGAGGGGAGTGAAGGAAGGGTGAAGTCACTTCACGATTCCCCTCTGTCCACTGCTCGCTGTACCGGTTGTCTGTACTTGTTAGTGCTTTCGTTGTTTTTAGTGTAAATCACTTTTTTCCACTTCTCTGAGTCACTCATATTTTTATCATTTCATTTTTTTAAAAACCCACAGATCTCTTTATTCTGCTAGAAGTTGATTTTGCCATGTGGCTTGTGGCAGGTCACACCCTTGACTTTCTCCTGCAGTTAGGGTCGCGGCGGGGACGTCACCGTGCCTACCTGGCAGGTGTCCATGGTACAAGGTCGGCGTTCCTCTTGAGGTGTGTAGGGCTCAGCTGGCTCCTGGTCAGGCAGGCTACTGCTCAGGCCCTGGAGGAGAGAGGAGGGACAGCACGCTGAGTCACTGCAGACCTCCTGGGCCAGGGACGCTGGACCCAGCTGACCTCGGTAGAGGACCTCAGTGTCAGTGCCTCCTGGCGGTGAGCCATGCTCCAGCTAGACCACAGTGGGACACTGAGTGGCAAAGGCCTGTGGCCTTAGGGTGGGCTGGGTTTGCTGCCTCTCCCTCTGCGTACTGGCACCCAGCATGGTCCTTCCTCACTGGCCTCATCTGCGGCCGGACACCTCTACTATTCCCGTCTGGCCAAATCCTCTTCCCACCCTGCTACTTCTGCCTGTTTCTCAAGCCTGTATCTATCTCTTTCCTCTCTTTTTCTTCTTTCTTTTCCCTTCTTTAATTCGTTTTTCTTCTTCTTGCATTTTCCTTATTCAGTGGTTTTTCTCTGCACATTTTTTTCTGTTACCTTTCTTTTTTTCTTGAAATTCCATGGACGCTAAGAATTTTCTTCCCACCTCAATCATCCCTACATATTACTTTAAAATAATCATATATTCAACGTTTTACCATGTAATAGTTTGGCCATATGAAAGAACATAAAACAAAGCAGGCGCTTTGAATTTTACACCTCAAAGGATTAAAATATTCTCCCTTTGTTATGGCTTCCATCTAGGTGTCCCCCTCAAAGGTGAGGTTTTGGAAGGTGGTTGGATTATGAGGCTTTTATAGCTGGCTTGCTGTTGGGAGGCAGAAGCTGTGGGAAGGGCAGGTCCTGGGAGGATTTCTCTCTCTCCCAAGCACCTCCCTTCATGCCCTGCTTCCTGTTCACCATGCCCTGAGCCGCTCTTCTCCGCCAGACCCTCTGCCATGTGCCACCCTGTCTGGATCCAGCTGTCTATGGACTGAAACCTCTGCAAACTGCAAGCCAAAATAAGCATCTCTTCCTTTAAATTGTGGGTATCAGCTATTTTGTCCCAGTCAAGAAAAAAAGAACTATTACACCATCTTCCTACCTCCCACCCAGGTTACCACTATACCTTGAATTCTTTACATATTACTTTTTATAGGCGGTAGTAATCCAAGGAATGCTTTTGGGGTCCATCGTGGAAGGATGGTTGGTAGAGGCAGCTGGGGGTGCCCAGCCTAGTAACTGGAATTCCTACTGTGTGATAACATCATGACCGTTCCCTCTCAGAAGGCTACTGATAACTTCGGTGGGCTGATCCACTAACACCCTTTACTACTGCAAGGAGGATTTATATTTTAACTACTCATAAAGATGAGACTTGGATGAATGACCTGTGATTTATGTGAACACTTCATGTGAAAAATAGCTGGAGGCTTTAGTTAACTAGAAGATTTATATAAGCAGGAAGTGTTAAGTGGCTTTGAAAAAGACAAATTGCAACCGTAGAATAGATTATTAGAAGTGCAAAGTCCTAAACACGGGTGATACTAGCAAGGCAGTGTTCCCTGTACAGCCAGATAGCATGCCCCACGCTGGGCACCACGGTGAGAAAACCGCGGTCATCCTCACCCCAAACCCACATGTTGGAGACACAGCGGAGAGGAAAATAACATGGCTTGTGACCTCCGCACTTCATAGCCATACTGAACATTTTTGGAGGAGGGGAGAGAACCTGGAGAGAAATGCTGAGGGACAACGATGCAGTGTCTACAGAGGAAGACAAGGGAACAGGTGGGGAGCGAGGCACTCAAAGTGCTGCGTGTCCTGGTATCAGACTTCCTTTCTAGCACTGTCTCTGCCATTGCTCCGGTGACTTCCTGCGCTCCCAGAGCCTGCCGTTCTTTCCCTCTATGTGGCATGCACCTTGCAGCTCTTGGCTCTCAAGGTGTCCTGTGCCTACACTAGCTGTCTGCAGTCTTTCTCTATTCATTTTTAAAAAAATATTCCTTACATCCAGTTCAAATATCACTGCCAGTAGCTGGGTGTGGTGGGGCACATCTGTCATCCCAGCAGTCTGGGAGGCTGAGGCTGGAGGATACCAAGGCCAAGCCCAGCTTGAGCAACTTAGTGACTTTGTAAGAGCCTGTCTCAAAATGAATAACAACAACCAAAGGGCTGGGGGTGTAGCTCAGTGCAGAGACCCTGGGTTCAATCCCCAGTACCACAAAAGGAAAAAAGAGGACTTCGGTCCTTCCCAGAGTCTTCTATCTCTGGCAGCTTCCCTCTGCACACCCCAGCTGTCTGTCACAGATGAAGGTATGGGATTTATAGTTCTGTCTGGACTTTGAACCCATTTTCTGAACCCTCTCTCCACTCAGAACAGACACACTACACATGCATCTTGGCTGATTTGCCTGCAAATTCAGGGAGCTCCTCTAGGAATAGCCGGTCCATGTGTTCCTTGACTCTTTCCTTTTTATCCTGTGGTTGAATCTTCTTAACTCCTGAGCAGTATTTTAAAATGCTTGCTGAGTGTAAGATATTCTTTCCCTCACTCGGGGGCAGGTCAATGACATTACCTAGCTATAGAATCTTGGAAAAATGCAGAATTAAGTCACCATTGTCCAGTTGACCTGCTGTGACGCTTACCATCTCAGGACAGTTTTACTCCCCGCTCCACCTGTGGCTGTAGACGCTTGTTCCAGTAATAGTGCAATCAGGGTATCGTCAGAAAAATGTGTTTACTAAAAGAAAATCACAGACTGCTTTTGGAATGGAAAAGCTTTGGAATTTTTTGGATATGTCAGGGTACCTGTGTTATCATCTTGCCCTTTCATCCTAACCAACTGTGATTAGGTCATTTAAAAAAAATTTTTTTAGAGGATAGATTTCCAATTACTTGAGGAATTTAGCACATGGATTTGTTGAGGTGTGACAAATACTTCTGCCTCTGCAGCAGTCAATAACCTGGTAAGAGCCCCAGTCTGTCTGAGCTTTGGCTATCTCAAGGGTTTGGGGAGGTAAAGGGTCTGGGAATATGGATGTGGGTTTTGTGTCTCCAGCATGACACGCTGATTCTGGTGTGTGTGTGTGTGTGTGTGTGTGTGTGTGTGTGTGCAAGTCTTGAAGCAGGGCTAAGCAGAAGCAGGCAGCAAGGCGTTTTTAGGACCTTTGATCCAGGGGTGAGCAGCACCAGGTCATCTGCTCAGGGAAATTCTGGGTGCAGAAGCAGAGATGCTACAGAGATGAGGTTTGGCAGAGGTGGGTTTTAGCTCACTTCTGTTCTGGACTAGCACACAAGACTGTGTGGGCACTTGGGAGACACCAAAAAGCTTAATTTAAACAGACTGAATCCTGGGAGACTGAGACATGGGGGAAGAGTTTGGGAGGTCGTCCCTCTGGGACTGGACTTAGGAAGTAGACCTGAGACTCAGTTGAAGGCTGGGTGTGTGTGAGTTTGTGTTACATGAGTGGAGGGGCATAAAAGTGTGCGATATTTAAATTGCCTATAGGTTGTACTCTAAGCTTGCTTGGGAGTACAGAAAAAACATGTTTCTGTTTCCCATGGCTGTCTGCCTTTGGGTCTTAGAGTGGGCAAGATACAGAGAAGTGCACAGAAAGGACCCTGAATCCATGACATCTTTTTCAAGGGAGAAATGCTTCAAGGGGAAATGCTCTCAGGTGCCTCCACAGCTGGAAGTGGAAGGCTACCCCACTGCCGAAGCCTTCTGTCAGTGGTCTTTGTGGAATTCCTGGATAAGCCTTCAGTGAAATTGACTTTCTTCCTCTTTGATCAGTAAGAGACCAAGATTCCTCATCAGGAGTGGAGGGCACACTGTCTGCCTTGGTGTCTTTGAACAATTTAAGTAATGGGCTTCTCAGTGCCCAGCTTTCTCTCTCTTGCCCATATTTTAATTCAGTCTGAATGTAGAACCTCGGGGAGGAAATAATTGGGACTATTCCAGAAGGCAGAGGAATGGCAGAGGAAGGTGGTACAAGGCAGAGGAAGTGAAGATCTGGAAGCCCAGGCTAATGAGACACATCTTGGAGAGCCAGGCCAGGGAAGGGGCACCTGGGATAGAAGAGGTGACAAGGTGGTGGTTCCAGAGGCTGAGCCTGAGGCAAAGTCCAACTACCCTGCAAAGCCAGCAGGGGATGTTTGGCTCAGATGTCTATGGCTAATCAAAGGCAAACAAGCCTAATTTTCACTGGGTGTGACTTGAGATAAAAGAAGTAACAGTCCTGTCATTTCATGTGAGTAGAATGATAACACTGCACAAAAGCAAAACTGTTTAGTTAGTGGGAGAAAGAGTTCTTTCAATAAACATAAACATGAATTCTAAAGGCTGGATTCACTATAAAAATCAGTCTTTGCCAGTAGTTTCAGGTGTGACCCGTGGAACCAAGGAATGACTTCTGTCAACAAGAGCAGCTTTCTGCCAAAAGCCCAGAGGGGCAGCAGTCGCGGGCTCTAAATGTGGAAAAGGTTGGTAACGCGGAAGAAAGAGCCAGCAAGGCTGAGACCAGCCGGTCCTAAAACCACAGACACAGGAAAAAAGTCAACATACCATTTGTCCCCGATTCAGCATTAGCTTTGCTAAATACCATTCATTGAGTACATGGCCCCTGGGTGGCAGCTGGAATCCTCAGCAAACAACGCTTTTTATTGTGGGGTGTCCCAGCTCCGGGGGCAGCTGGAAGCAGTTTGTCAGTGAAAGTTCAAGAAGGGATGAATGTCTACTTGAGGCAGATGTTAACTGCAGTATCCAATGGAGGTACTTGAAAATTTTAATGTTTTTTGGTGGAGGAAGGGGGGGGGTCAAAATGGAATGGAGAGAGAACTCTCTCGGCTTTGAAAGAAAGCAAATAATACTGGGTTAGAATTGAGCACAGAGGGAAGATTTGGAGTTTCCCTCGTCAGTACTAATTCATTCTCCTGACAACAGGTAAGCTCAAGACTACCAAGGGATGAAATTACTGTCTCCTCCAGTGAATGTCTAGGAAGACCCTTAAGCTTCTTCTCTAAAAGTGTGTAAATTCCCCACCTGTCTCCCTCCTCTCAATGTTGCCTGGATAAAATGAATTACACCTTGCGTAGATAGAAAGAAAGGAAATTCATGCTTC